AGGTTAGAAGAGAAGGGGTTCAATCATAGAATTTACAAGGGGTATTTCACTGTGAGAGTGGTGAAAGTATTGTAACAAGGACACTCCACTGTAGTCCAGGTAAGTCAAGTAAAATGCAGTTTATTAAAGGGCAAACACAAAATAGCTTGCAGCAGCAACATAAGACAGTCCTTTATATGGCTCTGTCGCTTTCCACAGCTTCAAGACTCTCACACTGCTCACCCTTCGTGAGCCCTCACTCTGCTCTCTTAGCAGTCTGTACCGCAGGTCCTAGGGTCACCGACCTTCCTGACCTCTCCCCTCGTGGGCACTCGCTCTGCTCTCCCAGCAGAGCGTCCGACAGGTCCCTGAGGTCACCGACCTTCCTGACCTCTCCCAGCCACCACTGGCTGTTCCGTGTGCGTCCAGCACGCAACCAAGTTGGTCTGTGTGTTCCCTGCACACACACACAACTCCAACACTCCCCTGAGCACTGGGCTGGCTTCCAAATAAGGCTGCTCTCAGCCACCTGATCCAGCTATACTGGTCATTGGTAACACCTGGCCCCAGGACTGGAGATCTCATCCCACCCAGAGCTCTAAGAGATCTCCAGAGCTCCAGATCCCAGCTACATTTAGGAAAACCTGGAAGAACCTGAAAAGCCAGGTTCTTCCTAATAACATGCTTTACTTTCTGGACCCTCTCAGCCCCTTTGGCTGAGAGTCCTGGGTGCCAAGGTTGCCATCCTCCACCGTGGCATTGGCTTACACTGCCACAGTATGGAACTCACTACCACACTACCACAGGCGGTGGTATCCTATAACCTTGATAAATTCAAGAAACTCCTGGATGAGGTTGAACTGGAGTGCATTGGAGTGATAAAACATTTGTAAATTACTATATATGCAGGAGTCATAAAATGAAGGCCCAATGACTTCCACAGGCTGTCAGCCTTTCATTCAAGGCTAAGATGCAGCAAAATGTACTAGTCTGAACACAATGACGTGCAATAAATCTAGACTCAAGCTCATAATTCACTCATCCACACTAAAGAAGAAGAAGATGGGAACCTGCGGCTTGAGTCTTGCAAATAAATTTACTACACAATCCTCAGTTCTTATTGTCATTCTGTTCTACCTGTACATAAATGTGACAACATTTCTATGGAATTTCATAGCCCACAGAACACTTGATACATGTCTAAGAAACTAATTTTCTTGTAGTTTGTAAACTATTTTTTCCCGAAGTCACTAAGTATTTATTCAATATAACTGCCAGGACTGTCAGGACTGAGGATCGGGTGAGTATATCTTTTTTATTTTCTTCCCTAGACCAAAATGAGCAGTTAACACTTGCAGTGCAGGAGGAGCCCCACTGCAAGGGTTAATTTTTCTACAACTGTGAATTCTTTAAGTGGAAAGAAGAAGAATGTGCAAGGACAACATTTTATTATACACAATATGTAGGGAACAGAAACAAAGGTACAGAAAAAAGATTTAGCACAGCACTTCCTGGCAGCACTGCACCATACTGGTAAAAGGAAACGCTATGGCAACATTACAATCCTTAAGCAGCATATCATTTTGGCAAATGCAGTAATCCTAGAAACACAGCAAATCATATATTTGGTAATATAATAAACATTGGTTAAACATAATTTATTTTATAGCTTTTTAGTAACATGGAACAGTTTACTGATTTACATATTGCTTTAATATATTACTTTTAAATGGCAGTTATTGTGTTTTTTACATAATTCCCTTCTATATTATAAGTAGGAATCCAAAAATAGCATAGCAATTGTTGTTTTTTCAGGCAAATATGGACTTCAGTATATTTAGGCTCTACCTGCGAATGGGGCTGATATGAGCCTCAAAATTGCTCCACGAGATTCGTGCAATCTGTTGCAGACATTTACCAATTGATGATTGCACCTTAAGGTGCCCATACACTGCAAGATTCTCGTACTAGAATCGCGGGAAATCCCACGATCGTGAGAGAATCGTGCAGTGTGAATGAAGGAGCATGGTAGAAAACCAGCCGACAATCTTACGATTTTCGGCTGGTTTGAATGATGCTCGGGAGACAACATGAAGTCTGCATTCAGGTATGGCCATCCATAGTTAATAGCAGCCTGTGCGATTACTTGTAATCAGCCTGTGAATAGTTGTGGGCAGTGGCTGCTGCTATTGTATTGTACAGTGCAGATCGCACGAGTCTCATGGATGAATTTAATAGACATGTGCACTGGGAAAAAATTTGTTTTGTTTCGTTTTGATTCCGAATTTGCGTTATTTAGTTTTTTGGGATTCTGGTCCAAAATTCAATTAGTTCGGGATTCGGACAAAATTCGTTAGCGGAAGTCTGGGCGAAATTTTGTTTGTTGGCCGAAATTTCATTGCAGCAAAATGACATTAGAATTTTTTAGTCTGCAGAAGAGATAAAAATAAAAGTGCGAGGTTCCCCTCAATTGATACCAGACCGTTTAGGTCTGATAGGAATGTTAGGAGGGACCCCCCAAGTTGAAACAAAAAATTGTGCATGGGGTCCGACCAAAATCCATACCAGGCCCTTTAGGTCTGGTAGGAATTTTAAAGGGGGACCCCAGCCCCCCAAAAAGGAGAAAAACGTTGGGTCCCCCCTAACAATAATAAAATAAATATTTTCGTAAGTTTCTGAATGCCATTCAGCTCTGTGAGCCGAGGTGTCATACGAAAAGCATTGTGACACCTCGGCTCACAGACCCTACTGGCATTCGGAAACTCATGAATAGCATTCGGGAGTTCCCGAATGCTATGTATTATTTGACAGCTGAGAATGAATCTGTTTACTTTCGAGCAGGAATGTCATTTTGCGGCAAGTTTTCATCGGGTTCAGGTTTTTTTTATTGTGGCGGGTCGGCAGGCGTCGTGCATCGTGATTGACACTAGATTACATCGATGGAGCCATTTTTTTTTCCATTAAAGGATTTTATCAAAAGTCTGGACTTTTTAAGATGTTGGGGGGTCCCTCACGTTTTTTTCTCTCCTTTATGAGGTGGCTGGGGTTCCCCCTTAAAAATCCTAACAGACCTAAAGGGCCTGGTATGAATTTTGGGGGAACCCCACGCACTTTTTTTTGTTTTAACTTGGGGGGTCCCTTATAACATTCCTACCAGACCTAAAGGGTCTGGTATGACTTGGGGGGATCCCCACACTTTTTTTTCTTCTGCAGACTTTTTTCTAATGTCATTTTGCTGCCACAAAATTTCCTCCAACAAACGAAATTTCGTACAGACTACCGCTAACAAATTTCGGAATCAGAAATTTGGATTAATTTGCATTTGTTATATCTGTTATTCGGAATTCGGATACATCCAAATGTTCGAATTTCCGAAATGTTGTCCGAATTTCGATTCGGAACTAAATGCATCACACATGTCTAGAATTTATGAGACTAATGCGATCAGCTCCATTTGCAGGTTTGAATGGGGCTAAAGTGTATATAGAAGAGTGTATGTGAGAAGACATCCCCCTAAAGTGAGTGAAATTCTAATTTAAACAGTTGTCATCAGAACATAAAGTATGTTTACCATTTCAAAATGTCCCCTTTACCTTTTGCTCTATTAAAAACAAAACAAAATGCAAAGTAATGATATGCAAAGAAAATGATTTGCTCAAACAGAATTTTAAATCAGTGATTTACATCAGCAGGGTAAGAGGATGAGTGTGCCAAACAGGTTGCAAGTGAGTTCAGTAGATTTTTATTACTGTAATCAGAAGAAACAAAATATTGCCAACATGTTTTGAGGGCTCCCCAGTCCCCCTTCATCAGGGCTTAAAATGGTAGAAGGGTTTATTAAAGCTGACAATGAAAAACTGCACTGCTGGTCCACCAAATTGGATATATTTTAGGACTTCGCTGATAAAAAATAAAGATTTAATAGACATACTTGGAACCTTTGTGGCACTCTTACACTTTCATTTTACTGATGATTAACTGTCCACAGACCCACCTAGGCCTGATGGCACCCTGAGAGCAACTTACTTAAAAAAGAAGCAAAGACAATAAAACAAACAATTACTATGAGGTAATAATTTTTGGCAGAGACATGCACATTTCTGCCAAAAAAATTCCTCCTCTCTTCTTTAGCATTTCTCTATCTTCTATGTACACTGTACAGTGCATGTGCCATGCTGTGTACATATTCAGCCCATTCACAGCATCTCTAAGATGCTATGAATGGGCCGAGTGGTGGGGAGGATGCAACTCCTGTGTGCATGAACCCATCCAAAGGATGATGAGGACTTCCAAGTCACAGATGGCAGCAGCAGGGAACACAGCTGAGGACCAAAAATCAATTTGATGGTGCTAAAGAAGGGCAATTGTGCCATAATGTGCAAATCTACAAATTAGGGCAAACAACCCCAAACATTTGCAAAGCAGTTTTCTTCCACTTTAACAAATGTTCAGTGCTCAACCAACATTTTCATCCCCAAACACAACTACTTGTTTTTATGGCTATGAGTCATTTTGTTTAAGATGGTAACTGGGGATAGCAGTGGGTTAAACTTCTGTTATTGTGAAACTTTTTAAACTGTGCTAGATTGCACACCAATATTATGTGGTGTGCAATCACTTGGTTTAAATGTAGGCCTTCCTGAAATTCCTCTACAACCAATCCCACTCTTTGATGTCAAGATTACATAGTATTTTAGGACAGACAGTTAATTAAACGTAAAACTGAAAAGGCTACAGATTCAGCCTTATTGCCCAGATCCAATAAGTCCTAAGTTTGTGGGAGGGTTAAAGTTTTTTTTCTGGCATTGAAGAGCACTCATGGCAAAGTCTATATATGGCCTTACGACATCATCTTTGTTTCCTTTACTCATTTATGCCTTAACTTTAGTGGCATGTTAATGTGATTCTATCCTAAAACTGCAATACTTTTTTACATGCCTGAAATGGAGCATGAAGGTATCTACAAACATCTAGCTCAAATAACAATCTTTCCAATACACTGTGCGCTTGTAAACCATTACCTGTAACTCTGAGTCTGTCAGCACCAATTGTGATTTCATCCTCATCCGCTGAAAACAACATCTTTCCGTCCTCATTTGACTTTACCTCAAACCTTTTACACTGAGCTTCAACAGCATTTGCACCTGCATTGCAAAGATTTCAAAATATTACATTGTGTAATATAATATTTCTTTATTTGGTTCATCTAAAAATAACCATAATTGTAAAAATGTAGCAATAACAATACAACTATCATTTTTTGGTTGTTGCACTTTTTAACAAGCAAACAAAGCTTTGTGTGGCACCATTTGTGTGACAGCCCTTGGAGTAAATGCTTTACCTGATGGCATTTTAAAACATATAAACAATAAAAGATTACAAAACAATACCAAATTATTATTATACAGTTTATTCTGTTGTTTGCAGGGCCTAGCAAACAACATGTAAATGATAAAATTTTGAAGGACATGTATTTAAGAAAACACTAAACATTATAAAAGGTACAAGGTGATTTATTAAATCTGAAACCAGAAGAAGAAAGAAGAAAAGCAGGACAGTATCCACTGTTAAGCAATAGTTATGCAATGGTCCAATTTGTTAAGCAATGGTTCAGTTTGCCCCGGGTTTCAAAAATTTACCCAAAATGACACATTTATTAAATAAAAACATTGTTATTAGATGCTGTAATAGCAGGTAAATTAAAAAAGGAATCAAGATATGCAATGCGAATATTAAACATGCCAAACTAACTTTATGCTGGAAATTATTTGATTTCTAGTTATCACTTACAGGGTTACACACTTAGCTGCCGAGTGAATAACCGATCCGAAGTGAAGTGAGCCGAACGATGTTCGGCTATTCACTCCGGCTCAGCACAGCTGATTGCAGCCATACATCAGCTGAAATCAGCCATACATTGGCGGCCTCTTGGATCAGCTGAGCTGAAGCTCCGGCAGCTCACTCACTGCCGTTCGACATTTGGCTATTCTGCTCCGTGCCTCCGAGGTACTCAGCAATATAGCAAAACAGCTAGAGGAATGAAAAAAAAGGATGAAAAATGATTTTCAAAATGTAAAACAGGAAAGTTAAAAAAATATATATTTTAAAGAAAAGAGAAAAAAATTAAAACAATTGGGCAGAGCTAGTGGTGACAGCTAGCTCCGCCCAAATGTTTCCTATTGGATGTCACATGCCAGAGTCTTCTAGCAGGTCCCAGCCAATAAATAACAACTGGGCAGAGGCTGCTGTAACATCACGGTTGCCTCCGCCCAGTTGTTATTGTTTAATGACAGAGCAGCGTCCCCAGGTCAGTATCTCTGAGGAGAATACTGTATTATCCTCAGAGATACTAAGTTTCAAAGATCCTGTAAATAAAATAACCCTTCAAAGCCCAAGTTAAAAAAAAAATAACAAAATTAAGTTTTTAAAATTTTCAAACATTTAAAAAAAGAAAAACGTTTTAAAGGCTACTAAAGATAGGAGACAAACATACCACACTAAAATTGTATTTCACTCCTTGTATTTTGTGACCTATAACTAACAAAATAAACTGAAATTCCAGACATATATGCCCTATACATCAGGGCAAATAAAATAATTTATTATGAATTACTTTCTGTTAGCTACACTAATTATGTACACAATATTATTGTCAAAACTGTGAAACATGTGGGTTGTTTTTTTCATTTTTTTATTAAAAAAATAAGAATTTCTATATGCATATGTCACATCAAATTAAAGCCCATTTTGTCCTTTAAAAAATGGTTATATATATGTGTAAGTGCAATGCATGAGGAAGATGGAAATTACGGTTAACCAAACACATAGCAAAAATGGCAAAATTGTTCCGTTTCCCAGAAACAATTTTTTTTTCTGAAGCTGTGACACTAAGGGGTTAAACCACTTTTAAGCCCTCAAATGGCTGGTCATGTGTACAGTAGCATAGCGAACACAGATCAGTGCGTTCCAGGGCATTTGCATGCATTCCAGAGTGGTAGCTGCTAGAACGCACCGCGATCGCTGAGAAACTTCTCCCCGCATTTTGGGGTGGGAGGGGGCGTGGCGGTGCATTGAATTCAATGGCACCGCTTTCACGCCCCCCTGCCCGCAGTGATGTCAGCGTTGCGTTCCACTGCAAACACAAAAAAATAGAGCAAGCACTACTATTTTTTGCGTTTGCAGTGGAACACAATGCTGGAAAAGAGCAAGCCCTATTCTTTGCGTTTGCAGTGGAACGCAATGCTGGCAAAGTCTTGCCACACGTTCGATCGCACTGCGGGCGGGGCAGCGTGGAAGCGGTGCCATTGAATTCAATGCACCGCCACGCCCCCTCCCACCCCAAAACGGGGGAGAAGTTTCTTAGCGATCGCAGTGCTTTCCTGCAGCTACCGCTCTGGACGCACACGCTTTCGGTGTGAACAAGGCCTAACACTTGATCTCTAAGGTTGTGCATAACTCTAACCTAACCTTTTCATAAATGATTCCCTATATCATGGGAGCCTCTCTGCAATAAAGACATGAAAGTTCTGCTCCACATCCTCAAAAACCAATTTGCAATGCCCTTTATTTACCTATTGTGTGTTCATATTACATTCTGTGCAGAATAAAGCAGCATTTCTATTTATTTTGCTGCCTGAATTTCTAGCAAACTTCATAAAATGGCACACACCATATCCCCTTTTATGAAATAGCTATACCTGACCATTGATGATTGTTGCATGTGATATAATGAATAAGATAACATTTTGCAGCAGGACCTTGTGGATTTCTACTTATGGCTAGACTTATCTTTGAAAAAGCAAATTGCATAGTCTTACAGTTACATTTGAAAAGCACATCAGATATGGACAATGCACATATAAAACTTTTATTCTTCATTTTATTTAGTAATACAATGTTGATCGAGTGTATAGAAAGGAGATCACTTTGCTTCTTATTTACAGTTAGTATACAGTGTACATGTTAAATGTACTGTGCTAAGTGAGTTTGTAGTATTTAATTCCAGAAGTGTAATTCCAGAAGTGTAAACAGAGGTCAGCACGGTATCGATCTATACATAACAGATATACATTCCATTAACCACTCACTGCAACGATTATAGTGAACATGATGCCACTAATAACTGATGTTTTGTAAGGCAGATGCTCTGACAGAAGATAAACAGGAACATTGTAAACTGGACAAGGCTCAAGAGCCAGCTCAAATTAATGAGGCATTTTTATGAGGGTGTTAACGCAGCAATATTCCTCAAATGGAAGGCATTTGTGAGTTGATACATATCCTGTTTTTTTAGACCAGGATTAATGGGCAATGAATGAGTGATTAAAGCAAAGGATTCTCTGTCAATGACAAACACAGATAGAATATTTATTTATTTATTTCAGGTATGTATATGTATTTTGCATTTATAAAATGAGGGCATTACAACTGTTTTTAGTTTCATTTACTTAGGTGCTTCACACTATTAGTAATTTGACCTGCAGTATAAAATACAGCAAACAAGATTCAGTACGGCAAAAGGTCACCATACCAAGCGTGTCTCCCACTGTGTGCTGTGGTTCCTTCTGCTGGTCGCTATGTCACTAGAGATGTCATTTTGTGTCCAGTAGGAGGAACTACAGCATATTGTGGGGGCATGTTATCTGACATACCCATTGGTGTCCTATCGTGATGGCTTTGGTATCTCTAGTCTATACAAGAAGGCCACAGGGTCACCTTAAATTACTTTTTTGGAGTTATTTTAGTGGTTGTTAGGGTGCTTTTTAAAGGCAGAAATCAATTTATTCAAGGCGATAGGTGAATTGAGATCATTTTGACAAAGATGCAGCCAGTTGCTGATTCTGTGTGACCAAGCAGATAAACTGCCTCAGCTCAGACAAGAACCTCTGGCCCAACAAAGCACTGCTCATTTAAAAATATAATGGACAGATAAAGAATCTCACGGTGTGCAGTAAAATCATAGTAAGCAAATTCAGTACAGGAAAGGAGACTGCAAAACTGTCCAAGACCAAAGCTAGGGCTGGAGTTCAGCTTTAAAGATGAACTCCTGGCAAATCAAATCTTAACCCTTGCAGTGGGGCTACCCTGGTATTGCATGTGTTTCATGATCGTTTTGTCTAGGGAGCTAAAATAACAGAGTTTTACTCACCTGAACCATGATCCCGGTTGGCTCCTAGATTGGTCCTTCAGCCTCGCTCCACCCTGCTCCAGTGGTCTAAGGTCCTTTGAGTCCAAGACAGTGTATAGGATGTGAGGATGCCGAGGGACATACCATTGCTGGAGCAGAGGAGGAGCGAGGCTGAGGAGGCCAGTCTAGAAGCCAGCTGGGATTGTGGTTTGGGTGATTATAGCTCTGTAATTTTAGCTCCCTAGACAAAATGAGCACTTAACCCTTGCAGTGTGGGGGGTATTCCAGATTTTACTTGTCTGGAGTTCGTCTTTAAGGAAGTCAGGGATAAAATAGTATTTTTTAAATTAGGCATGTGATTTTAGCATCCTGGGCTATTTTGTAAATGTGCAAAATGTAACCCCTTCATGACTAAACTTGTTTTTAGTTTCTGTTCGTAAAGGACTGACACACTTTTGAAATTTTTGCTGTGTGATTCTTCCATGTCAGTAATAAGGTGCCCATACACTGCACGATTATCGTACCATAATCGTATGCGATCGTTTTTTCGTACGATAATCGAGCAGTGTGAACGGAGACGTGCGACCGTTTCTACTGTACGGTCGCACGTCTCCTGTCGAACCAGCATGTTCGAAAACCAGCCGGGAATCGTACGATTCTCGGCTGGTTAGAACGGTGCTCGGAAGACAAATGCCGAACGGGCCGGTGTGCGCACGCGCACACTGCCCGTTCAGCATTGCGGTCATCGGAAGCCTGCCCCTCAGGGGGGCGGGCTTGCGATGATCGAGAGTGCGATCTGCCTGTCCAAGATAGGCAGATCGTACGTTTTTTTAATCCCTTTACAACCATCGCAAGACTAAAGTCTTGCGATGGTTGTAGAGTGTATGGCCACCTATATTCAGATAGGTAATATACAGTAATATACAGTAAAATAGGACAGATAGGGCTATATATTTATATCACATGTGTACCTAACACCTCACTTAGGACAAATAAAAGATTACAAAAAGATGAAAA